GGGATGGAGATTGGAAACCTAGAAGCTGTAAAGGAAAAGATGAACAGGTTTAGTAGTTCAGATTTACTTTATGAAAACGATACTCATTCTAAGATGTGGCAACGTAATTAAGTACCTATGACTGGTTTCCTAGTGTGGATGAAGAACGTAACCTGTCATATCAGTAAACAAAGAATATTGTGGCCATCAAGCCGTCAGCCACTTGCAGCCTTGGAGAGTGCACCCTGAGGGGATTCAGGATAGAGAAAAACAGGATACTGGTCCTAGGTAGTTAAGATGTTTATCAAAGAAATGATTACAATGAGCCCAGACTCTTGCATCTTCCTGTGCATAGAAAAGCACTAAATTCATTAACTTGAGATGTCTGTTCTTTGTGATCAACTACTGGTTTGTTTTTGTAAAACTCCTAGATATCCTGGCTTTTCCCCCTACCTCTTTGGAACAGTCCCTCAGAGCTTTCTGAGAGTCTGTCTCCTGGGCTTAAGCCCTCAGTTTGTGCAATGATAAACGTAACTCTCACCTTTTCAGTTTTGTATTTTTTTTCAGTTGACACTAGTCTACATTTTCTATAGCCACTTCAGCAAATTGGGTGCAGTTGGCCAAAGTTTTGTTACTTTACCTAGTTTTCCTAAAACATTTTAGAAAAGTTAAGTGCCTTAATTGCATGTGGCTGGTACATCTAGCCTGCGTTTGATACTACTTGACTCCCCCACCTTGTCTTTCATGACGTTGCCCTCTCCAGTTCTCCTACTTAATTGGACTTTTCAGTGGGATTTTCCTCCTCTCAGTCTTGGCATTGGTTTCCCTCCAGAGTTTTCTGTTCTTGGACTTGATCTTGGAGATTTCCTGTGTGCTGTCCTTGAACGGCCCTGACCCTTCTCAACTTTCACGGTTTGTGTATTTGGATGACTCACAGGCATCTTAAACCCATTATTTTCAGTACTTGTGCTCATCTCCTTTCCACCAGTCATCCAACCACTGACCACCTTCACGGCTTGCATTTCTGACTCAGTTGAAGGCACTGAAACTATTTTCCCTCCTTTCACTGCCGCTGCTCTAATTTGTGACCTTAATATGTTCATGATTTAGATACAGTACACCCCTCACTATATTAAGCAGAAAGATTTCAGTTGTTGGGAAGGCTGGAGGAACAGCTGCTCCCCTTGCCACCCTCTGGGTGATCCGGGAGCCGGGAATCCTAGCTGCTGACACCGTGTAAATTTACTTTATGTAAATTTCCTTCCCTCCGGTTCTTGCTGCCTTCAGGTTATCCTCTGCATACAGTTATTCTCTAAAACTTTGTGTTTATGTACCTTGGAATGCAAACTAAGTTCTTTTCTCAGCACCAAAGGCCACAAGAATTTGACCTTTAAAATTTTGGGCCTTTAACACCTGCCCTCATCTCCTCATCTCTATCCTGCTCTGTTGGGCGGCTGAGCGGCTGCTGCTTTTGGTGCTTGTTCAAGCTATGTGATATCTATCATCTATTCAAAACCTCCATTCCTCTGCCCTCCCTACCCCTGGCCTTTTAAGGCCGTAATAAATTGCGGTTTGGTCCGAGAAGACTACTCAGAAAAAGGCAGAACTAGCCTCTACCCTTCACTCTTCCTGAAACGCTGTTTATACTTAGTGATTAGTGCTTACTAAAAGTTTTATGGTTTTAGCTCTTAGATTTAGGCCTATGATCCATTTGGAGTTGGTTTTTTTTTTGTATTATTATAAAGGTCCATCTTCATCATTTTATGTTTAGATATCTAGTTGTTCCAGCACCGTTGGTCGAAAAGACTGTTCTTTCCCTGTTGAATTATTTGCCGTTTGTTGAAAATCAGTTGTGTATAATATAAAGGTTTATTTGTGGACTCTCAATTTTATTCCATTGATCTGTATGTTTGTCCTTTTGCTAGTACCACAATGTCTTGATTACTATTGCTCTTACTAAGTTTTGAAATTGAGATGTATGAATCCTCCAATTTTGTTCTTTTTCAAGATTTTTGTTGTTTTTCAAAATGTTTGGCTATTCTGGCTACTTTGAATTTCCATGTGAATTTTAGGATCAGCTTATGAAGTTCTGTATAAAAGTCAGCAAAGGTTTTGATAAGGATTATGTTGAATCTGTGCATCAATTTAGGGAATGTTGCCATTTTAACAATATTAAGTTTTACAGTCATAAACAGGACATTTTCTGTTTATTTTGATCCTTAATATCTTTAAATAGTGTTTTGTGGTTTTCATAGTACAGATTTTGCACTTCCTGTTATATCTAATCCAAAGTATTTTTGAAAGTATTGTAAATATAACTGTTTTCTTATCTTCATCTTCTGATTCTTCATTGCTAGTATACAGAAATACAGTTGATCTTTGTATATTCATCTTATATCCTGCAACCTTTTCTGAACTCTTTGTTCTACTAGTTTTTCAGTGGATTCCTTAGGGTTTTCTATATTACAGTCATTTCATCTGTGGATAAATGTAGTTTTTAAAAAATAAATCACAGTATTTTGAAACTCAAAATAAAATCATGAACATTAAACTGCAGAGCACGGAGTGGGATTTCAGAATGCTTAGCGAGGCATCATCGTTTTCCTGGGTTACGGAGGTGCATCTGTTCTTTGCAGCTCTGATGTCCTGCAAGCAGTAGGACCGGTGACTTTGTTGTGCCATTTTTCTGTACAGAAACTTATGGCTCCCCATGCTTTTCTGGCAGAAATCTAGATTCTCTGGACTCATTCTCCAGGGTGCTATCCAGTATATTGTCTATCACAGAAAGGAGATTGGAACGGTCAGCAGAGCACAGAAATCAATTGAGAGTCCTGGCTTCTCACCAAGTGTGTGTGGGCAAATTTGGAGGTGGCCCTTACCTTGTAAAGTTGCAGTTTTTTTTAAGCATGGTTTCCTTCAGTTCTCTGAACATATTGGTGGTAGCTGCTTTGATAGCATTTGTCTGCTAAGTCTGACATTTGGGTCTTCTCGAGGATTTCTGTTGCTCCCTCCCCCCCATATATGGATAATGCTTTACTGTTTATTTGCATGCCTTATAATATTTTGTAAATTGGACATTTTAGGTATTTTATAGCAATTTTGAATGCTAGCTTCCCTCTCCCGCCTTCCACACCTTCTTGTGTTGTTTCTTGTTCATTTAGTGTCTCAGCTGGCCTGTTTTGGTGAAGCTTGTATTTTCTGCAGTGTGCATTCTCTGATGGTGCTTCTCTGAGAGCACAGCCTTGGGAGCATGCAGTCACGTTGCACTACTGTCTCCAGCGGTGGCAGCATGGTTTTGGTAGGGCTCTCTAACAGCCTGTTTGTCTGATCCCCTGGTCTTTCTGGCGTCACACCCAGCAAGTATTCTCCTCTGATGGCTGGCCAGTTGCTTTACTGTTCTGAACAAAGCTCTGGGCCGTAAGTTGCCCCATAGTATGCTTCAGTTAAATTAGATGGCCTTTGTAGGGGTTGTGTTTGAGGCCAGTCTTGGAGCTGCCCTGAAGCTAGGAGGGAAAGAGACGCCTGATGCCTTTGAATTTCTCGTCTGCTTTTTGGCTTGTCTCTGTCATGAAACTACCAGCCTCACCTTAGGCTGCTCCCCACCAGGCTCCGTGGTTTTCCGCAGTGCCATTAGGCTCGAGCTTCGCTCTTCTGTGCTCCGAGGTCAGTCCTCTTAGGGATTGCCAAGAGGTTCTCTGTTCTTACCGCCTGCTGCTTTGGCCTGTGGAGAACCTCTGCTCTGTGAGCGGGGTCTTGGGCGGTGGCTGTAGCCCCTGGTCTGTGTCGTTAGCTTCTCTCCTGCATCTGCCTTGTGAACCACAGTCCCCGTGTTCTTTGCCGGCTGCGTCTGCAGTAGAGCTTCTGCCCTATGGGTGAGGTCTGGGTGAAAGAAAGGATTCCTTAGATCTCTTGGCCACACTTCCCTGGAATAGAATTTCTACAGTATGGAGATGGGAAATGCTACAAAACATAATCCTGGATTTGGAGCTGGGTGGAGTAATCAGTTAGTAGTTTGCTTCAGTTTTGTTTTCTTCACGAATATTTTGACCTGCCTACTGTACAAAGGCTGGTTCGTCTGCCTCGTGCTTCTTCCCCACTCTCCCTCTTCCTTGAAGGCTCGGCTCAGATGTCACTGGCCAGAGAGGCTTTCTCGGACCACCCGCATACCGAGCGCCTCTCCAGCCTCGCCCGGTTGCTTGGTATTTCCCTTACTGAGTTCATTTTTCCTTGTAGGATTTATCACCACCTGGCATGCATATGTGTGTATATTTGTCTACCTCTTCCAAGGAAGGTAAATGTTCCACAGGAGAAGAGACTTAGACTGTTCACTGTTCACTGTTGTTTACTGTTATAATCCCTGTACTTAGGACACTATCTGGCACATAGTAGATTCTCAATAAATCTGAATGCAGCATATGAAATGACCAAAGTTTACTGCCTTCTTGCTTCACAATTTAACCTGCTTAAATTGAAAAATATCTAGAATCACCATGGCAAGTGAATTTCATGTTGTTTGCCAACTCTAACTACTTGTTGCTGCCTAGAGTGAGAGAATGAGGCTCACTGGGAAAGAAGGCAGTGATGATTTAGCAGTGAGTGGCTGTGACGGCCAGGAGAGAGGAGGACGTGGCGTATGTGCGAAGTGTTTGCCTCTCTAACTGAATGAGGCACTGAAGAACTGGAAATGGGTGCATTGTTGGTCTCCATTCTGTTGTAGGTCTCCTGGCTGGCTTCCTCCTCACCACCGGGAAGTATTTGTGGATACTTGGGGTTAGGTTGGGAAAGCCACCTGTTTACAGAATGATGTGGAAACTTTTCTGTGGAAATTCCGGTTTTTAATAGATATGGCACAAATGAGTGTCCTCCAAATGCCAGGAGCAGATGGGACCTGGCTGGTGGTCAATATACCAGCTGCTGCTTGTTGCGGAAAAAATCGTCTCTTTTTCTAATATGAAGACTTTTTCTTTAAAGTTGTTTAAGAATGATTTTTGACTAATAACCTTTCTTTCTCTTCTTTCTAGATTCTTACGGAAATCTGTTAATTCTACGTTTTGAGCACTATGAATAACCACGTATCTTCAAAACCATCTACCATGAAGCTAAAGCACACCATCAACCCCATTCTTTTATATTTCATACATTTTATAATATCACTTTATACTATTTTAACATACATTCCATATTATTTTTTGTATGAGTCAAGACGAGAAAAATCAAACCAAATTAAAGCAAAGCCCATAAATTCAAAACCTGGGTCTGCATACAGATCTGTTAAGAGCTTGGATGGTTTGACTTCAGTGTTATACCCTGGATGTGATACACTAGATAAAGTTTTTATGCATGCAAAAAACAAATTTAAGGACAAAAGACTGTTGGGAACACGTGAAATTTTAAATGAGGAAGATGAAGTGCAACCAAATGGAAAAGTTTTTAAAAAGGTAACGTGACCTTTTATTGCCTTTGAATTCTTTCTGAATAAAATGTATGCTTAGGAATGGTGGCACGGGACAAGCTATTGGAATTTGCTGGTGTGGTGGGAGAAACAGGGCAGAAGGGACTAGACTGTGCTCTAATCTCCTTCTGTACCTCCGGCATGGATTTGTTCCAGACTCTCATAAAGATGTTGAGATCACCCAGTGGCGAGGGCCACTTCTGAGCCTACATGTCTACCAGGGCTTGGAATAGAATGTCTAGGGCAGTTTGGGTTTGCAAGTATATTCCCTGCTAGTTCCAGAAGCACCTGTGTGTGCTTGAGACTGCTCTGGGTTTTGGGATGCGACCTGCTGTTTCTGATTATAATGTAGGTTCCATTGGATGTTCAGTGTCTTGGTACTTGGTGTGGCAGTGCATGGTTTTTAAAAACTTCCTTCTCACAAATACAAGAAGAACTTGCCATTATTGATGTGAAACAGAGGTTAAGACATCTTTAGAGGCAGTGTAGGTAGTGGTTAAGAGCCTGGACTCCAGATCCAGACTGTGGATTTGAAACTCAGCTTTGCCACTCACTAGCTGTGTGACTTTGGAAAAGGTATTGAACCAAATTTGCCTCAGTTTCTTTATCTGTAACATGGAGATAATGATCATTGCCGACATTGATTAGCGTTTCTTATGAGCCAGGCTGTTCTAAGGACTTTACATGTATTATCTTATTTAAGACTTACAGTAGCCTTATGGATTAATGTTATGGGGATATCCCTCCCTTACAGAAGACAACGCTAGGGCACAGATGGGTTAGGTAACTTTTTCAAGGGCATTACAGCTAGCAGCTTCATCTGGGACCGGAACCTAGACTGTCTAGCTCCATACTTCTTAAACTAATCCCAGCTCAGAGAATTATTGAGAGGATTAATTGAGAGAGAGAGAGAGAGAGTGAGTGTGTGTGAAACAGTGGTGGCATCCAGTGTAAATGCTTTAATGACAGTAATTTACATGAGTGTAAATGCTTTTATTATCATCATCTTGGGAATTGAACAAGTACAATTGTCTGAGTGAATATGAAGGTTTGTATCATGGAGTCGTGCAGCTCTGTAAAGGGTGATAGGTATAGAAATGGCATGAAGATGCTGCTTATGAACTTGGGTATTTGTGTGTATATATATTTTATTGAAATATAGTCCATTTACAGTGTGTCAGTTACTGGTATAAAGCATAATGCTTCAGTCATACATGAACATACATATATTCATTTTCATATTCTTTTCACCATAAGTTACTACAGTATGTTGAGTATAGTTCCCTGTTTTTGAAGCTCCGTTAGGTGAAAATGGAAGATAAAATGTGTTTTAGAGGCAGTGAGATTGCCTGCAGTTAGCTGATAATTTGGTTAGGTTATAGGTTTAATTCCTGTGTAGGCAAAGTGGTTTTTCTCTTGTCCTCTTTCCCCATCTGCATCCTGGCTCCAGCTGCCTTTTTTCTGTCAGTCCTGAAGGAACTCTCCGACCTCGGAGGAGAGTGCAGATGCGCACAGCCTTGGAGTGAGACACTCAGGCTTCCTCCTGTTCTTGGCGGGTGGGGTTTGGGGAGGGGGTGGGACTCATGTTTAATGGAATGGTCCATTAATCTTGCCACTTCTGATAGAAATTCCAGTCATCTTCTAAAGATAAATGAGATGACAAGCAAATTAATGTCAGTAACTCCTAGAAATTAAAAAAACACTATTGTAACTCTAGACAGTAGGATCTCTGTGTGTTCCTAACGTTCAAATAGAGTGATGTTTTATTTGCTTGGATTGCTTGGAACAGTCTTGACTTGCACCTGTTCTGACATGAATAGTGCCCCCTTCAACCTCAAGAGTGATTTGGAAAAATTCTCTGGTCACTCTACTCTTAAGACATGTTCCTTGTTTTCTTTTGCCTCATTTAAATGTATTTTTTTTTTTTTTTTGCTAAATCAACGTAAGATCTAGCTGGGGTCGGTTAGTAGTGTTTCGCTTCATTGGAGTCATGTAGTTAAGCATGTTTGATTACTCCTCTCCTGCCTATAGATTATAATTTGCCAAACTATCATAATGATGCCTGGTTTTGTCATATTTAGTTGCTACTTTTGGCAAACCATCCTTGATTTCCATTCCCTTGCCCCCAGTTTATAGATGACCCACAGTGCTCACCACATAGCCACACTGGCCATTTGTTTTCCTGACTCTCAAGTCAGCACAGTTGAACACACTTATGTCTCGTGAGCCACGGGTAAGAATACTTAAGAGGTAGCAGCAAAGTATGTATGCGATTGAATAGTGATCAGCACAAAAGAAGCCATGGAGTTAGATGATCCGGTGGATATGGACTTTTTAAAAAAGCAATCTTTTCAAAAATGAGGCTGCTGGAGGAGAGGTCAAAGGCTCCAAGGCCCAGAGTGAATTGAAGTTGTTCAGTTACATGAGTCCATTCCACACATTTAGCAAGTAATTGCTGGGTGCCTACTACGTGCTAGGTACTGTCCTGAGCACTAGGAGACAATAATGAACAAGACACACAGGTTATTTTTCATAGGATCTTATATTTGTATGGGAGGGGGAGAGGCAGTATAAAGTTAACAGACTTACTAACTACTGTGAAGAAATAAAACTGGTTGGAGTTCAGGGATAGCCCCTCCGAGTAAGTTATGGTCAAGTGGAAGCCTGAAGGACACGGGGAAGCCATCGTTGCAAACATCTGGGTAATGAACCTTCTCTATAGTGGAACGGGATTGTGCAGTGGAGTGGCTCCAAAATAGGAATGAGCCAGCAGGGTGAGACACTTAGGGTGTGAAGTTCAAGACTGCATTCAGACCCTGAGGCAGTGCCTCGTTAAACTTTGTGCCCTAAGCACCTGTCTTGCCTCATCCAGGTTCCTGTCCTGGCCCAGCCTGTTTAAAGGACAGAAAGGACAAAGTTGTATTTACAGGAAGTGAGAAAGGACAGAGAGTTCGAGATGGGCACAGAGACCCTGGCAACATGTAGGGTCCTTAGGGCTTTGTAGGCCAGTGTAAGTTGCTTTGAATCCATTCCTACTGGAAAAGGAAAACACTTGCAGAGGAGTAAGCTGATACATGTTTTTAAAAAACTCATTACTGTAGGGAAAAGGGACTGTAGGGGAGTTAGAACGGGAGTTGGCCAGTTAGTGTTCATTAGTTCCCAAACTAATGGACACTAGGATGACAGGGTAGAGGTGAAATGAAATGGCTGCTTTTGAGGAATATCTGTTATCTTAGTTGAATAGTCAAGTAAAAGAAGAGTAGGTTGGCTGTCCAAGTAGGGGTGGTCAAACTAGAAATGAAAACTTGGGAAGCTCTTCAAAGCAGAGTCCTAAGGAGCTAGGCTTTTTTCATGGACACTTCAACCACTGTAATACCCTGAGGGACTACAGAGGGTATGTGTACAGGTAGATGTAGGTTATTAAACTTGTTGCTAGGAAGATAAGGAAGTTCTGTTTAATTTCCAATTTCTCAGTGAGTGTGCGATAGTGTCATCACTTGGAAGTGGAGAAGGGAGGGCCAAGGTGGAGGGTATCTGAGTACAGAGGAGGTTTCACATAGCCATTTCAGAAGGTGAGGAAATGAATATACCAGGAAAGTGTCATAGGACTGCTGGGTGGTGAGAACTGTGATTCTGGATTTAATAAGGTTCAACAGTATAGGCAGGGAACAAATAAACGAGTTTAATTGCAGGTTGAACTAACTGTAGGGACAAAGTTAGCATCAGAAACCTATTCCAGCACAAGCCAGATAAAATTATGGTGTAGGTAGTGTCTCTTAAATGTAATCTTCATGGTAAAGATCACTACTAGAAGATTCAGTGGTTTAAAGAATTAAATGAAATCCAGATTTTGGTTACATTTGACTTAAAGTCATGGCTCGGTAAGTTCTTTGCCACATGGTGGCATCCATCATATGGGTTTACATATTTGGATTTTACATCTAATGCTTTTTCAGGATACGTATATTCTCTGAAACTTACACAACTCATAATTTAGATTCTAGAATCTAAGAAATAGCTCATATTTATCTTTGGAGTGTGAAATTCTTAGTAACTGTAACCCAGTTCCTATAGTTTTGGCCAAATTCTCTTCCGTCTTCTCACCACCCCCTCCAGAGCTCCTTTTGAAGTCATTGGAGCTCCCTGTGCTGAGCATTTCATCGTGGTGCAGAGCATGATGAGAGTTTGGGACCACTGAAGTTAAATAAGTATTTTAAATTCAGTTGCCTTATCTGTCAAAGAATTTATTTCTCAAGTCCAATTCAGAATGGGACACTAGAGGGCAGTATTTATCTGTTTTTCCATTTTTATTTTCATTCAGCCTCTTTCTAGAACTCTTCTGAATGTTATGTGAGTGTTTGAAAATGAGTGTGGTTAGACAGTTATAAGGTGCGTAAGACATATGTTAATGACACAATGACATTTGGGAACTGTGTATATTTTTGCAGTGAGAGCAACTTTTTATCTTATCTATATATGATTGGGGGTTTATGGTCTGATCTAAATTGCAGAAAATTCCTAAAGAGCCTTAAAAGGGAGTTGTTAATACTGTAAGACTTGACGTTACCTGTGCTTCTGGCAAGCCGTGCCAGGAGCTTTCAGCAGAGGGGCTTTGCTGAGTGGTCGGATCCCTACCTGGCTGTGTGAAGGGAGACTTTTGTTTACTTTGCTTATCCAGAGTTAGATGCAGCAATTCAAATTAAGTAGCCACAAATATATGTTAACTTGGGCCTGACCAGTTTCTGTGTGTTATCAGGTTGTCCTATCTGATATTAAAATCCAGGATTCATAAGTAGAGGGAAAGTAAAAATTTTGCTATCGGTAGCACTTGATACTAGGCTCAATTATAAACTAACATCTAAATTGTTTAAGTAGATGAAGTCTGTAAGTGAATTATTAATCTATATGCCTTCAGCCAGAAAATTGACCTTTAAGATCACATCAAACTCTGAACATTTTTAAAAGAAAAACAACCCCCCCCCAAATTAGAGTTTAAGATTTAGAAAAAGTTCTGAGTTGTCATAGAAGATAACACAAAATAGCTAATTTTCAAAATAAATTTTTCTCTTGAAACTCACTTTCTGGCTTTCTGTTAGAACAAAGTAGTTTATATACAAACAACATTTTGGTTTGTCGAAATTGAGAGCATGTCCCGGCTTCTTTCTAGACATTAACATTTTGGTTATGTTTAATTTTATTAGGTTATTCTTGGAAACTATAATTGGCTGTCCTATGAAGATGTCTTCATTAGAGCCTTTAATTTTGGAAATGGCTTACGAATGTTGGGTCAGAAACCAAAGACCACCATTGCCATCTTCTGTGAAACCAGGGCTGAATGGATGATCGTGGCACAGGCCTGCTTCATGTATAATTTCCAGCGTATGTAGACTTTCCTGTCTTCTCAGTGGACTTAATGTTGTTGTGGGAGAGATGATACTAACTTTTTATTATAAATGTTTACTCTCAAGAGATTAATATTCTGATGTTAATTTTTACCTTGTATCCAATCAGTGGATAACTGTTACAACTTAGAATTATTAGAACTTAGACTCCTTCTCCTCATTATTATATTATTTAATTTCAACATTTGTAAGATTATTTTTCTTTAGATTTTTCTACTTTAGAATAAGCAGTACTGCCACTTGTTCATACTAATTTTTTAACATATAATATTTTAAATGTGACATTCAATGTGATATCTTGTTGGTGTATTTTCCATATTTTAGTATCAAGTAGTTAACAACTAAGACTTTGACATTTTAGAAGTCAGATGTAATTCCTTGCAATGTGGCAGTCTCAGTAGTATTCATAGGTGAAACAAAATAAAAATTAAAAAAATTTTAAAATGCTACATTTTAAAAATATTTGAGGGAAATTACATAAGGGTGAGTTAGGCATATGTTGATTAATATATTAAAGTAATTTATAAAAGCACAGCACAGTTAGATCACAAACTATGGATCTAACAATTTAGGGTTTACTTTGCTCTCTCATAATTCACGGCTGCAGTCAAGAGGCTTTATTTAATTTCATTTAGTACTTCCATGAAGTGTTCAAATGCATGACCTGGCCTTCTTTTCCCTGTAGTTGTTACGCTGTATGCTACTCTGGGAGGTCCAGCGATTGTTCATGGATTAAATGAAACAGAAGTGACCAACATCATTACTAGTAAGGAACTCTTGCAAACAAAGTTGAAGGTGAGGAATAGTTTTTCAATAACTGTCTCATACTTTAAAATTTTCAGTGTCATGGACTCATTATTTATACTTAGTTCTTGTATAATCTTTAAAATCTTGAATATCTTTGTAAATTTCTGGGAATATAATACTTTATTCTTCTTTAGAAAAGAAAAAGTGGATTTTATATGTATTTATAAGTAGCATGGAAAGTTATAAACTTAATTGTTAATATGTCCATGTTTAAAGTGAAGGGATTACAACTTCTTGTCTATTTTAAATAAATTTGTAATTTTTAGGGGTTATTTTTAAACTAGTTATTTCTGAAGTATTAGGTCATTATGAGTTTCAGAATTATTTAAAGGAAAAAAAACTTTATGAAACTACTAGAGAAAGGGATTTCTTTAATCTTTAGACAGCTCCCTGTGAAAACAATATCTGATTTCTTTTTTTTTTTTTAACACAAGCTCATAAGAGAATTCCCTTCCTCTCTTCCCATTTCTTTATTTGCTTTTTAGAAGCACGAAGGACATTGGGCTACCATGTAGTTCAGGCAGTGTATGTTTACATGACCATTTTGTAAGGAACTAACTTTGTTGATAAAGGATTTTATCAAAGGAGAATTGGTATACACAGTACATCTAATGTTATAAAGCGGTAGTTTAAATTTCAGATCAGTAGATTCTCCATCTGAAAAAAGGGATCTTCATTCTCACCCTTGTGTTTCTGAGGCAAGGAATTACTTTAGTAATTTGCTGACTGTGGTAAACTGCTTGTGGGACTTGTGTCCCAGACTATGTGCCAGGCCGTTTAGTGAAGAACAGTGAGGACAGTGATGACTGCTTGTGTTTTTCCAGGACATAGTTTCTTTGGTCCCGTGCCTGCGGCACATTATCACCGTGGACGGCAAGCCGCCCACCTGGTCTGAGTTCCCCAAGGGTGTCATCGTGCACACCATGGCTGCAGTGCAGGCTCTGGGAGCCAAGGCCGGCGTGGGTATGTCCTTGTGTACCTCCTGCAATGACCGTATTCTCCACGAGTGTCACAAATATTTGATTCTGAAGTTGGATAAAGTGACAAACCAGTTTTCTAGGCTATCACTTAGGGAAGTAAAGTTACTAAAAAGGAAAAATACAAGCAATTTATTAACGGTCTAAAAGTAGTATTTATTTGCAATTAATTTAAAATACTTTTTACATTATACAGTTTTCCCATTCTCCATTTTCTGATAGTTTTAGATGGTTTAAAGTTAGTCTTACAAGTAATGCCATAAACTTGGCCTTTGTGAATTGTCTGAGAGTGGTAACAGGTGGCTAGAGTGGCTAAACCTGGATCCCTCCTCTCACTCTCTGCTCCACCCCTGCTGTTTCCAGAGGGGACATCTTTCTGTCCTCTGACTAGCACGCCCAAGTGTGGTGACTGGAAATTCCTGCTCTCAAGTGTCACAAAGTGTTAGAGGATGTACTGGTGTTTAGGGATATCACAAAAACTGTTAGAATGCTGGGACTGTACTTCCTTCACAATTGGAGCCTTGGTGATTAGTTAGATGTAAGCATTCAGTTAGCTGGGAATGGGAGTTTAGCTGAGATTAATTTGGGGGCATATTGAATTTAGGTGCTAGTGCGACATTGGAATGTAGATATGTAGTGGGGAGTGGCATATACAAGTCTAGTATGCTGCAGTTGAGTTTGGAGTTAAAAGATCTAGAAGCTAGAAACAGATTTTAATTCAAGCTGTGAGTAGGTGAGGTCACCGTCTGAGAATGGTGCCTCCAGAGGCCTGAGACTTGGTCAGAAAGGAAGGAAGGAAACACATAGTGTGTGGTTCATGGAGCTGAGTGAAAGGAGCCTCTCGGTGAGGTGGGAGTCTCTAGCAGGACCAGGTGCACTGAAGGAGTTCAGTGACACAGGGACTGCAACACACCATTGGACTTAGCAGATGTCACATTAGAGAAAGCAGTTAGAAGTGGTGGCAGTGGAGAATGGTGCCAGGGGATGAAGGAGTGAATGGCAGATTAGGAAGCAAGAACTGGAATGATAACAGTTGTCAAGAAATAAATCTTGACAGGTAAGAGAGAAAGAGTTTACTTGGGAACATGTTTAAAGTATTTTCTGCTGTTTAAGAAGGCTACATTCAGGGTAGTTCCAGGATTAATTCAGGCAGATGAGCATTGCTTATCCATGACCCACTTCTCTTTGTCTTTCTACTGTGTCACCTCTGTAGGATGTTGGCTGCTATGTTTAGACTTGTGCAAATGGGGCACATTGCCTTTTTTTTAATCCAGTATTCTGTGTAGCCAAGTGTGAAGCAGCTAACATCTTTTAGCAAATGTCTAGATCCTCTAGTGTAACCACCCTTATTTCTTAGTTGAGTTACTGGAATAGCGTTTTGTCTCCTGACCTCATTTCTTCGCTTTCTTAGGTTAGGTAGCAGCAGCCAAAGTGATCCTTGTCACAGTTGATGACAAGTCCCTGCTCAAAACAACATAGCTTCCCACCCAGAGTGAAATGCAGTCTCTGAGGCTCTGCACATCGTGGTTCTGGGAGCTCCGTCACCTTCATTTCCTGCCACTTCTCCTGTCATCTTCTTACCTTGTCTTGCTTCATTTTTCTTTATAGCTCTTATAATGTTACGGATTTATGTCTGTCTGTCCCAGTAAAATATGTCTCTTATGTATAGGGACTTGATCTGTTTTGTTGACCTTTGTATGAATACAATTAATAGTTGTTGAATTGAGTTAACAAATGATTATGCAAAAAATTGATGATACAGCTAAATTTCTCTGAAGTGTGTGTGTTTTTTTTCCTTCCAATACAGAAGACAAACCTAATAGCAAACCAATGCCCTTAGATACTGCAGTAATCATGTATACAAGTGGATCCACGGGACTTCCAAAAGGGGTCATGATCTCCCACAGTAACCTTATTGCTGGTATAACTGGGATGGCAGAAAGGATTCCAGAACTGGGGTATGTCATAGTGTAAATGTGGGGTCGTCCAGTGTTTATATTGGTCGTGACGTTCACATTTGTGTCATTTAAGTAGTATTTGGTTAAATTAGTCCTTCAGAGTCTGTGTGTACAGTAGGCATTTCCTTCAAAAAAGGATATTAAAAATTACAAGAGAATTACAGTTGTGAAATTTAAATTACAGTTTATGGATATCATTGTTACTTCAAAAGTGCAAATTTTAAATGACTTTAAGTGTTTTAATCAGCTGGTGTTATTGCCTCTATAGTCATTTTTTATACCTTAATGTTATGATTCAAGTGAACAAATAATTTGCCCAGTAAGTATTTATTGGGCTTCTTTATTCAGTCTCTGGTTTTCCTTTTTAAGAGACATTCCAGCAGTAACAGGGGAGTGTGGGTATACAGGAGTGGGAAAGAAGCCGATGGAGGAGACCAGATGGGAGTTTTAGGAATGGTAAAGAGAGCATTCCCAGAGACGGAATCAGTATTCTGATGACTGATCTGGTGCAGTGGTTAGATATTTTTGTTGCCCTTATGCGCGGAAATTATATACATGTTACTGTGGAACTGAATTTGGGGATGGAGAGAGAAATTTATAACTTTCAGAAAAAATTCAGAGCAACTGGTTTCTTCTGGGTTTGTCTCAGTTGCCCTTCATGCTATGGGAGTGGGAGCAGTTCTTAAAATATATGCACATGCATACATGTACATTTTATTACATAAGGTATAATTAACTCTCAGAACAAGAATCTCTTCTGTAAAATACACACACACACACAGACACAGACAGACACACACACACCCCCCCCCCCGATTGAGAGTCCTTCGTGTGCCTTTTAGAACCTGCTCCCCCTACAGTCACTTTCAGTAGAAACAGCACCTGACCATTACTTCCTGTATCCCCCTTTTTTTCTAGGGAGAAAGATATCTACATCGGATATTTGCCTCTGGCCCATGTTTTAGAATTAAGTGCTGAGCTTATCTGCCTTTCTCATGGATGCTGCATTGGCTACTCTTCACCACAGACTTTAGCAGATCAGGTAAAGTAGTGCCTGTAACTTGGGTTACTAAAAAATGATAATTATCTTTAACAAATTTTTCAGTCAGTATGACAATATATTGTAAGGATGACAGTTAATCATTCTAAAGGCACTTGCCTTTTAAGTGCCATTTAGAATATAAATGAATTAAAATGATGAATTTATAATGTGCTTTTTTGATTTGAGTTTTATTGAATTTTTAAAATAAGGATCACTTTATATAGATCACTTTTTCTCTCTATAGTCTTCAAAAATAAAAAAAGGAAGCAAAGGGGATACATCCATGTTGAAACCAACACTGATGGCAGCTGTCCCGGTAAGAATTGACCATTAATCAACATTGAGTGCTAGAAAGCACTTATACAACATAAATGCTAGTGGAAAAGGTATTGCTGACAAGGTATTTTATGTAGGATTTTTTCCTTGTTGATTATTGATTGCTTTGAGCTCTGCAGGATTTATTGTTTCGTTTTAGCTTCTTTTTTATTAAAATCTCAACTTAGTTTTAGCTTCTGTGTGATATTATCAGCTCTTTTCCTTTAGCTTCTTGCTCAGATCATTTTTGTGATTATCTGTTTGCTTTTAATAGAAACCTGAAGCCCAGCAGGAGGTTGGAGGGAAGGTTTGAGATCCTTTCCTCCTAAACAAACCAGATAATCACTGCCCAAGTTCTTAGGGAAAGTCTGGCCAGACACCAAAAAAAAGTGACAGAGATGTTGCTGCAACTTTGAATTACTCAAGAAGCACCATACATCTTAGTAATACCAGGCATAGGGACGGTCTTGGAAATAAGATCAGTAGAAATGGGACAGCAACAATTTCCTGTCTCTTTAATGTAAATTTTACGTGGCTTTCTGATTTTGCTTGAAAGTATTATGAATTGTTATTAGATACCTAAGTGTTCACATCCAAGCAAAATTACATAGTTACTCTGAAGTCAAATATACGACCAGTAGTTTCAGTAGGCAGGTAATTTCCTTAGTAGTATCATCTTTGTGTTTCAGGTCGTTAAAGTATACGTCATGGCAACAGGCCTTGGAAGTAAAATGTAGTGCAGACAAGGAACATTTTCCTGGGTGCAGCATTAAAAATCAAACAAGCGACTAAAATAACCTCATGGTCTTTTTATGAGCAAAGAATGTGGTACTCTCTGTCCTTACAAAATTATGAAAATTTTAAAGTCACTTCATATAGTTGTTCATTTATTGAGTGTAGGTTTTCAGTTCAGAATAAATAAGGTAAAGCAGTATAAAGAATCAGTAATGGCATATTATTGCCCTAATGTTCTTATATTCTCCCTCTTTTTCCATTGCTCATGAGCACCTATGGAAAATTACTTTTACTGAAATCTCATTTTTAAACTAATTGTGGCTTTACTTTATTTTATTTAATTTTTTTTGTGGTTCCATTTTGAAAGTTTATTCTTGATAGAGAGTATCTTTTAAAATGCTTCTATTGATGGAAATAGTAATCTGATGGTAAGATTTTAAGTAAGGCAACTCGTAGCATTATTGACTGTATTAACTCATTTTTATACATCCAGGAAATCATGGATCGGATCTACAAAAATACCATGAATAAAGTGAATGAAATGAGTAGTTTTCAACGCAATCTGTTTATTCTGGCCTATAATTACAAAATGGAACAGATTTCAAAGGGGTATAGTACTCCGCTGTGTGACAGGTGAGTGCAGAAGGGCTCTCCCTCTCCTTGGTAATTTGATCGTGTTGTTCACAATTAATTGAGATGTTATAAGAAAAAAATTACTCTAAAAAGTCAAAAGGATTGCACTAAAAACTATTAATAGTGTGCTTATATTTTCTGTTTATCGAAATTGGGAGACTAGTCTAAATAATTCAGTTTTAAAATTCTATGATTATTTGATTGATTTTTTTTTTTTTTAAGTTTCATTTTCCGGAAAGTTCAAAGCTTACTAGGTGGAAATATTCGGCTTCTACTGTGTGGAGGTGCTCCACTTTCTGCAACCACACAGCGATTCATGAACATCTGTTTCTGCTGTCCTGTTGGTCAGGGATATGGGCTCACTGAATCTGCTGGGGCTGGAGCAATCACAGAAGGTTAGTGCTGTCCACAAAGTGGTGTGTCCAACAGAGGCTAGGGTGCAACTCCGGGCATTTTTTGGTATGGATTGTTCTTTGCAAATATATAGGAGACGAGTGATATATCAGGTTTTAGAATGTAATAGGTACATCTAATTATCAATAATTCCTCCAGAGGAATTATTAAACTTATGATAATGTATTAAAAACTACTTAGCATTCTAGAGGTTTCAGTAACAAGCGCTGGCTGTACTGTATGCATTTATTCTTCTTATCTTATTTCTTAAGAAGTTTCTTTTTATGTAGAAAGATTAATGTGTTTTGTCTAGTTGTTTAGGTATGTTTAGTAAGACTCAAATTCAGAAATTTTATTGAGGAGGAGGGCTCTGTTAAATGTAGAGAAAATTTAGATTTAGGTCTAGAGAATGTAATTTCCAGAGTTTTTCGTGGTGATGTGGTTGAGGGGATGACCCATTACCCAACTGGTTCCCAGATTGAATCCCCTAGTGCCTCATGTGCCCTTTTATGGAAGAAAGTTACTCTGTTTTCCAGTATTAGAAAAATCTATGCTTCTAATCTGTATTTTCTCGATGCCTGTAGATACTAACCTCTTAACTTTGCAGTTTCCCCGGCTTACCTTGAGTGATTTTGTGTACTGTCCTTATGCCAGGTTTATCCCGCATTACTTCTGTATTTTCCTGTTTTCCATCATGTTCTTTATATTTTGTATATTCTTGGAAGCTACTCGTCAGTCTTGTTTGGCAGGAAATAAACAATCTTAAATACATGCATATATGGTTCCTGAGGAGCCTTAACTTCTTCCTATTTTAAGGATTCCACTGGATGTGTGATTGATTAGTTATAGTTTATGTTATAAATAGTCTGTAAAATATTAAGTATCAGCCTTTTCTTTCTGATACTTGAATGATCTTTGAAGAGGAAACAATGCAGTAGTAATTCTTAATAGTGGTAGGTTCCTTTCCCAGAGCTTGGAAGTTAACAGTCTTAGTCTCCAGCCTGGTGTCTGAAGTCTGACTGTATGAATTCAAATAGGGTGCGATAGCATGAGTGGATGGGAGGGACGTGTCAGAGGTCTCACTTCGAAATAGTGATCCACGGGAGAAGGATGGAGAGGTTACTGTACTGCAGAGCTGTTAAGTCAAATAAGAAGGTAGGACAGGTGTAAACCATTGTGCTGCATTGTGTTGGAAGAGAATAAAAACTCATGAACCAGGCATCTCCTTAAGTGAGTGAAGTGGGCCCTGTTATAAGAAAATGTGATGGGTAAGGAATCTGGGGAAACTGGAGCAGGCCTGCCCCATCTGTTGGGGGTAACAGTTGTTCTGTGCTGGAAAAATGTGGGCCCGTTGTTCTGGAGATTCATGCCTTTTTATAAAAATGTCTTGAGTTTTATACATCCATAGCCAACTCAGATTTAAAAAAAAATACCCAAACCCCTCAGTTCACCGATGTGTGACTTCCGCTTTTCAGAATTCCCTGGGGATACCTAAGCTTTGGGATAAATCATCATTTTTATTTATTTATTTATATTGTAATCTAGTAAAATGAGGCAGTTTATTAACTACTGTAATCAAATGCTATTTTTCATTTGCATCTTAGTGTGGGACTACAACACTGGCAGAGTGGGAGCACCAGTAGTTTGCTGTGAAATCAAATTAAAGAACTGGGAGGAAGGTAATAACTTGTTTTAACCACAACATTAATTTGTTTAATATTAAACTTTAAAATTAGAATTGTGCTTTACTTCATTCCTTATTTTGGAATATAAAATCACCCACAAGTGCTCACTTTTGTCCTTTATAATAGAAATATTTTATCTAGAGCTATATGAATGATTTATTTTGCTTGTTTCAAAGATGATTTTGAAGAATTATAATTGTTTTAATTTTGCTTACTTTATTACATAAAATGCAAGTAAGAATTATGGGAAAAACTTGAGAAATGTCCTAAATGAATAATGCCCATAAATTGTAAATTATCATAACTATTTTGTAGAAGCAAAATCATAAAATTTATTCTGTGAAACTTGAAGATGTTTACACCTTTTTTTTTTTCTTTCTTTTTTTTGAGGGCTTCAACCCAAAATTATCAGAAGGAAATTTTCAGTATTATTCCATAAAAATGTGTTGTTCATGCCACTTAAATACTGATTGCTTTTTTAAAATTTTGTTTATCAGTTAATTGGTTTGATATTTAAGAATCCTTAAAGGAATTAACCTGTGTAGTATATGTATGTAATTATTTTATACAATAGATATTGGATTTTTGAATTCAATTTTTTTCTTTGAATAGTAGTTTGAAAGCATAAGTGCTTACGGTTAAGCAGCTGGAAATTTGCAGCTAGTTTTAGTTGTAAATTTATGTTGATGAGTTTTGTTCATAGTGTCTGCCTTATTACCTTTGGGAAACTCTAATTGGGTCAAAGTTGGATGTCCCTGTTTAGAAAGTAATAATTTCAAATTTTCACATGACGCATATAGGGATGAAAGAGTTAAATTAACTCTAAATTATTCTGTGTTTATTAGGTGGATACTTTAATACCGATAAACCACATCCAAGGGGTGAAATTCTTATTGGTGGTCAAAATGTGACTATGGGATACTACAAAAATGAAGCAAAAACAAAAGCTGATTTTTTTGAAGATGAAAATGGACAGAGGTGGCTCTGTACTGGAGACATTGGAGAGTTTGACCCTGATGGTTGTTTAAAGATTATTGGTGAGCCAACTAACAGTTGTTTTTAAAGTGGATGTTTCTGAAATAGCTTTACAAAAGAAGCTGTTTAATAATGTAAGAATTTATTTTTATGTAATAGTGGGATGGTTTCTGTTGCATTGTCCCCAGAATAAAAAAATGTACAATAGGGACCATGCAGAATTTATAAGGCCTGACATATTCTGAGGTCTTCAGGTCTGTTCAACAGCAGTGATATTTTTAATTACTATTAGATAATCCTTAAAGAGTTCAGTTCTAAGTAGGGAGTATTCGTTTCTGTGAATACTTTGGTATCTAAAGGTTCTTGGACAGGGCTCTCTCCTGTCGGAGCCATGTTCTTCCCTTGCGTGTGAGAACTGAGGAGGGCCTGGCAGCTCAGTTCGGGGATCTGTGGAGTGAAAATACTTTACTCTGCTTCTCTTCTTCGGCTCTGTTTCTCGGCATGTCTGTCCCGGTCATGCTGTCTGGGCGCCGGCAGGAGATGAGAGTCTCTGCAGTCAGCCCCCACGTCTAACCCATATCCCACTGCTTTACCTCCGGAAATACGCCTCAAGGTCATTCTCTCCTCTGCCTGCCCCTCTTTCTGTGATCCCAGGTCAGGCCTGCACCTTCTGTCACCCGACTGCAAGAAATTCCTTTCTGTTAACCCTCGCTGAATGCACCCTCTCACTGCCACCGTGTGATTTTTAACCCCCATCTCACTGGGCTGCTTTCCTGCTGAAAACCTTTTGGTGGTCCCAGTGGCTCGGTTCAGGGGGCCTCTGTTAGGTGGCCCTATTCACCTCTCTGCCTCCATCTCCATTGCTTCCTCCTCCTTGATGCTGCACAAATTCAGGCTGGGACGTCTCTGTTTTTTGCCAGTGTTGTTCCACTTGGCTACTGCTCAGCCTTCCCTCAAGACTCAGCTGAGGCCCCTCTTGTGGGAATTCTATCAAAATCGGCAGGTTGGAGAGTCTTATCACTTAGCACTGCTGTATTGTGTTGAAGTAATGATTTTTTGTCTTGGTTCTCTCTAGATAGAATGTGTGCTTTCAGATGGCATTGAGTGTATTCTTAATCTTTCTGGCATGAATGTATACCAGGAACACAGTCTGTTCAGCAGAACATACCTGAAGCCCTGATGATGGGCGCCCTTAATTAGAAGCTTATTTTTTTAAGAATATATTTGGTAGTACAAAAATTAGGGTCTAATTTTATTATGTATTTTTAATTTTAGCGTAACTTATAATGAACTTAATTGATAGCAAATTACTTAGGAAATGGCCAACATTTGTATGTAGTAAAGATGTATTAATATTATCCTCTAACGTGCCCCCTCTCCCGGCCTTGTTTTTTACAGATCGTAAAAAGGACCTTGTAAAACTACAGGCAGGAGAGTATGTTGCTCTTGGGAAAGTAGAGGCAGCTTTGAAAAACCTCTCACTAATAGATAACATTTGTGCATATGCAAACAGGTAAGAAAGTAGAATTCATGCTACTTTTACTTAAAACATTTGGTGTGCTGTTGGCATTTCCTGTCTATTATAAGGGCCTTCTTTGTAAAATTATACCAAGAACTCTTCCTTCTTATCCATTGTCTCGGGGAACAGCCTCTTAGTACAGCCGTTAGCTGCTTCTTTCCTTGTGGTGCTTTAGTCTCCCGGTCTACCCCTGTCCCTGTTTTCTGTTTCACATCTCACTGCAGTGTTCTGTGTGCTAGGGAGATGAAGAAAATAAAATCCTCCTTCCTGCTGCCTTGGTACCCCCTAGTTCCCTATCCCTCTGCGCAGGGAAGTTTCCCACAGTCAGTCCAGTGGACAGGGGAGTAAAGAAGGAAGTGGGGTCAGCGAGCAGTGCTCTGCTGCCTTCTGACTATCCTCTTATAAACTGGAGCCTGCTGGGGACCCTAAGCAGGCCTGTGGGCTTCCATCCCCCGCGCCCCAAGCTATGCTAAGCTGTGGCATAACATACAGCATCTCTAGCCCATGATGATACGGAGGCAGCTGGGAAGGAGAGTTTAAAGTTAAAGTCCCAGAAGTCCATTCTTGGAATTTCGGCTTGGCGCTCTGATCGCATTTTCCATAAGGGAATTCCATGTGGCAGTTACTCTCCGGGGTAACAGTTAGATACATTTTGTGGCCAGCCTACTCACTGTGAGAAGATGCTTATGACCCATTACTTACTATGAAAAAATAAAACCTCATATTAGAAGAACCTATTTAGAAATAGACTTTGAGGTGTAGCCCACGCTGAAGATTTATTACATTAATTTATAAATGATTCTGCCCTTTATTAGTCATGAAGTATTTTCTTTAGTGATGCTACAGTTCTGGGTTTTCTTGTGTGATATTAACCAGAACCATCTCCTCCTGATGCTGCTGCCATTTCTTCAGGTTGCTTCCCCCAGGGGGCATACTCAGAGTTCCTCTGTCAGCACCAATTCTTAAGAGAACAAAAGAAAAAAACATATTCACATTGTTTTGATTTGTTGCCAGTTTTTTAAGAAACAGTTTCTTATTTACATTAGCTTTTATTTTTGTTTAATCTATTGATGTGAATTAGTGGTTTTTAAAAGGTGAATCTTTTAATATTTCTAGTTTTCTTTTAAAAACATTATTCATAATAGTTATGCATAATTGAAACTTACCATGAAACAGATTAAGGTTTATTTAGCAATGAATTCTGCCAGAGCTTTGGAACGCGTTGTAAATCATACAGTAAAAGTGGCTGTTGCATGAAATATGTGTGTCAGCACCTCAGTAGACAGTTGATTACTAAAACGTCAGTGTGGTCAGTAACCACAGTTAACGTGGTATGCCATTTAGTTCCCTAGCTAAGTTATGTTTTATATATTTCAGTTATCATTCTTACGTCATTGGATTTGTTGTGCCAAATCAAAAGGAACTAACAGAACTAGCACAAAAGAAAGGACTTAAAGGGACTTGGGAGGAGCTGTGTAACAGTCGTGAAATGGAAAATGAGGTACTTAAAGTGCTTTCTGAAGCTGCTACTTCAGGTGAGTAAGTGTTCACTGATTCCAAGAACTGAGCTGGCAAGAGTACTTAAATTTATTTATCCTGTTACATTACAAAGGCTTAGGTTACATTTCCTGCTCAGAAACCCATCGTATTTTCCTACCATTAGTAGGGAGAAGAACATATTTATCAGTCCCCCATTCAAGCCCCTGTAGGGACACACAAATCATGCACTCCCACCACCGATGTACATGTATCAGGATGTTCTTGGCGGCTTCTGTTTTCTCCACTCACCTTGGCTGTTCCCAGGGCCCTGCTCGGCTTCCTGGACACCCCAGCCCACAGTGAGCCATCTGAGGCTCTTCTGCACTGTTCGTGTGCTGCTGGTCGATTATGCTCACAGATCCTCTGCACCCTTCTTGTGTGTGTGTTGGGGGGGGTGGGGTGAGTATAGGTTGACTAGTTTAATGTTGGCGGTTTCAAAAAAACAGCTCTACCTTCTGAGTCGTCAGCATAAAGTATAGTACAAGTGCGCATTTTTATTCTTAGAAATGTTATTCAAGATTATGAAAAATGTAAATTGCATTTAATCAGGTGAAATCATTCTGACCCTTTATTTCAACAGTAATTATGTTTTGTTGTATGTCAGCTTGAAGATAGTTTCCAACTTTTTTAGGTAATTTAAAAACTTTGGGCTGATGCTAAATTGAATTAATTAATGGATATTATATTACAAACCCATATACTTTCTGAGTAAGGTGGAACACTGAAACAATAATTAAACATTATTTAAAATTTATATACTTTTTTAGTTTATTTTAAAATTTTATGTATATTTTAACAGCTTTGAGATATCAAATGCCAAACAACTCACTCATTTTATGTATAATTAAATAGTTTTTAGTGTGTTCACAGAATTATACAACTATAATCACAGTCAGTTTTAGAATTTGTTATCACCCCAAAAGGAAATACTGTGTGTGCATTAGCAGTCACTCCCCATCACATCTAAAACCTCCTAGTCTTTGGGAACCAGTAAGCTACTTTATATAGATTTGCCTATTCTGAAGATTTTGTTTAAGTAGAACCATGTAATACATGGGTTTTTGTGACTGGTTTCTTTCACTTAGTATGTAATGTTCATCTGTGTTAATCCTTGTTTCCTTGCAGCGTGCATCAACACTTCATTCCCTTTCAGTGCCAAATAATACGTTGTCTGTTCATCAATTGAGGGGCACCTGGGTTGTTTCCACTTTCGGCTATTAGTGAATAATGCTGCTGTGGACATTTGTGTGCAAGCTTTTGTGTGGACATACTTACTTCTTGTGGGTAGATGCCTCGGAGTAGAATTGCTGGGCCTGTGCTACCTTTGTGTTGAACCTTTTGAGGAACTACCAGGCTATTTTCCAGACTATTTTTTAGATGGTGGCATTTTACATTCCCACGAATGTTGTATGAGGGTTCCAGTTTCCCCACATCCTCGCCAATACTTGTGACTGTTCATCCTTTTGATTCTAGTCATCCTGGTGGGCGTGGAATGATGTCTCACTGTGGCTTTGATTTGTGTCTCCCTGGTGGCTATTGATGCCAAGCATATTTTCATGTACTTATTGGCCATTGTGTATTTTCTCTGGAGAAATGGCTGTTTAGATTCTTTGCCTTTTTTTTTTTTCTTTGCCCATTTTTTAAAGTGAAATTATCTTTTTGTTATTGAGTTGTATGAGTTCTTTATATATTCTAGATACAAGTCCGTAATCATATTATGTGATTTGTAAATATTTTCTTCATGGTATCCTGTGAAGCACATCAGTTTTAATTTTTATAAGATACAGTTTCTTCTTTTTTTCTTTCATTGTTTGTGCTTTTAGTGTCACCATTGCCTAATCCAGGTCACAAAGAAAGCCCAATGTTTTCTTCTAAGAGTTTTATGTCTTACATTTAGGTCCTTAATGCATTTTGACTTAATTTTTATAAATGATGTGAGGAAGAGATCCAACTTCATTTTTAAGCAAAATTTATATTAGGTTTACACAGAGAAACAGAATCAGTAGGTTATATATATATATATATATATACACACACATACACACACACATATATATATATTATATATATATTTAGTAGGTTAAATATATTGAGAAACTTACTATAAGGAATTGGTTTTTATGATCATTAGGGGCTGGCTAGACAGAGTTGGAAACCTGTAGGGCAGACTGTTGAAAGGTGGCGTGGAAATCTAGGCACAAGTCGAAGGTCCTGTCCACAGGCAGGATTGTGTCTTATTTGGGGATAAGCTCTGCTCTCAAGGCCTTGCAGCTGACTTAATCAAATCTGCAAAACACTTGTTTAGTTGAATAACTGGGAACTCTAGAGTTGCCCAGATGACACATAAAACTGACCATCACACTCCGTCCATTGTCCGCTTGGCACCCATACACATTTTCTTGAACCATAGTTAATTTCCGAGTAAAGACATTAGCAAAGTCAGACTATCATCTAATATTATACAACTGTCCTGTGTACAAATGAAAATACAGTATTTTCCCCAGAAGAGGATGCAACCCCCTTGAGTGATTTTTACTCTTCTCCTTTGGTGTCCTGTATGTAACTTAAATAGTATGTTAAAAAGTTAACTCATTAATATACATTACGGTAAGAGAATAAGAGGTAAGAAAACAAGTATTTGCTTAACATATACAAACATATTCACAACCAAATAAGGAAGAAAAACTCAGTTATTACAGCCTCCGTTTCTCCAGCTGATCATGTGGTTGTAGCTGTGTTTATTTTTCTAAAACCTGGTCTAGACAACATCACCACACACCTAACATAATTTTGAGTCGAGTTATAGGGTGCAGTGCTGAGCACTTAAAAGCTGAACGTGGTCATCAGTGCTCGCTTGTGAGTCTGCCCCACATCTCGGTAGGTCAGACTCCTGTCCTTTAAGTCCTGTGGTCCCTGCCTTGCTGCCATTTCTCAAAGTGGTTTTTCCTCTTGGAAACCACTCCTGAAATATTTTTAATCTTTCAAGAGTATAAAACCGTGTTTGTTATCGCTGTTCATTTTTATGGGCTTGATTTATTACATCACTTTTGTTCCTTTAATTTAGTACTTTTAAAGTATATACATTATTATGGTGAGGTGTTTACTTGTTTCCCTATTGTCTGTCACTTGGAAGCAGAAACTATTCATTTTTATATTTTTAAAGAATGTTTAGCAAAGCATTTACACAGTAATTTTTTCCAGTAAATATGTGTTAAGTGAGTGCTGGAAAAATGAAGCAAGGAGATGTTTACTTTCCTTACTAAGAAGATGTTTCTTCAGACTGCATCTCTACCCCCTTCTTCATCCCTCCACCGCTGAGAATCTACTGGGTATCAGATCTGTGTTAGGAACACGTAGTGAGCAGACATTCTGCCCTCTTACCTTACAGTGAATATCCTGGTTCAGTGACAAGATTCTCTTTCAACATAATATTGTTTTTTAGTTTCTAAAGTGATTTTTTAAATAATAATTTCAAAGAAAATGAACAGACATAAAAAGTGATGGTTCCTTTTCCCTAATCCTGGATCCTAGCCCCTCGAAGGACCTGGTTTAGTTTGGTATGCATCCTTGGCCTCCGTATCTAGTTGCATATAGGTTTATCTAGTATTTTAAAAAGATCGTCTTTTTAAACCTAACAGTGTATTATTGCAAATATTATTAGATATCTATAGCAAATGGATCTTATTTTAAATGACTGAATTGTACATTTATGCCTATATCATAATTTATCCAACTCATTCTGTTGATGGACATGTAGATTTTTTAAACAGTTTTTGCTATTATAATTCTCATACATATCTATTTTTTTTTTACTTCTATTATTTCTGAGGGATAGATTGCTTAGAAGTGTGATTTATGAGCTGTTGGTTGGTTTAATGGGTAATCAAAGACTGAGGAAGTTAAATTATTTGCTAAGAATTTTAACTGTATGTTTTTCATGTCTTTGTGGTTGCTTTTTTTTTTTTTTCTTTCTTTCTTCGCCATCACAGCAAGTCTGGAAAAGTTTGAAATTCCAGTAAAAATTCGTTTGAGCCCTGAGCCATGGACCCCTGAAACTGGTCTGGTGACAGATGCCTTCAAGCTGAAACGCAAAGAGCTTAAAACACATTACCAGGCGGACATTGAGCGAATGTATGGAAGAAAATAATCATTCTCTTTCAGCATCAGGTTGCTGCAGGGAGCTCAGATCAAATAGGAAAATACTTGAAATGCATGTCTCAGACTGTGAGGCAGACTCCATTCCTCATATTAAACCTAAACTGTTAACTTCTCATGACATTGCCATTTTTAACTGACAGGATTAGTAAAATATTAAGACAGCAAACATGTGTCTGTCTCTTCTTTCTTCCCCTCCTCCACTTTCCTTTACCACCTAGGACTGCACTTGTCAGCATGAGGATTTTTCTGAATCATATTGGGGAACAGTGATTTTAAAACCTCAAGTTTTTAAACATGATTTCTATGTTCTGTACAATGTTCAGTTTGTAACTTTTTAAAGTTTGGATGTATAGAGGGATACATAGGAAATACAAGAATTGATTATTTGGGGGGCTTTTTTACTTACAGTATTTAAAAATGCAAGGGTATGGATGTGAAATTATGTAAATTTCATTCAAATGCTTATGAATCAAATCATTGTTTGAACAAAAGATTTGTTGCTGTGTAATTATTGTCTTGTATGCATTTAAGAGAAATAAATATACCCATACTTATGTTTTAAGAAATTGAGACCTTGTGAACATATGCCTGACAGTGTCTTCTTTATATATTTATTTTTTCTTAGAAAAAGGAATGAAGTTAGGTTGGTTCTGCATGAAACAAAATAGTAATAGCGGGTTATGGTTTCATAGTAATGGAGGAAACACAGCAAGGGAACAGAAGTGGGTAGTTGGTATCTGGTGGCTCCTCATTGAAATATCCAGAGTCTCCTAGTTAGCTGTGGGCATTAGCAAAATGCCTAAGCTTTTAGAACTGGAAACAATTCTAAAAGGTAGGGTAGAAATAGAAGGAAAAAAAATCAGGATGAAAAGTTATTCTTCATTTCACTGACTGTATATGTACATTGAGTTGTCTGTATGTCACATTAATCATGAAAAATTATTCTATCCCACTCCTACTTTTAAAGTCTAGCTGTTTAATCATGTATCTCATTTCAAAATTAGTACTTTTTCTTGGATACGTTGCACTGGGTGATGTGTGTGTGTGTGTGTGTGTGTGTGTGTGAGACACTGTCAGTGTCTGTTGATAGCTTGTTAAAAAAAGCACCTTACCCTTTCTGCCATAACCTTTCCACACTAAAAAGTGAAATAATCTAGAATGCTTCTGATAATAGCATTCTTACTGCAATACATGAGAATTTATGATGAGGTGAGTTACCATTTAATTTTGCAGGTTTTTAATGTCAGTGTGGAAATTGTGATCCTAAAAACATTGTATTATACATAGTCGTTTCATATGTATTGCTTGTCCGTTGTTTATTATTAAGAGTAATATTGCACCAGTTAAGATGTGTTCAGATTAGGACATAAAAAATCATATATACCATGTTTTTCATGTCATATTAGTTATTTTCTTGATTCTCAATTACTTTTAGGCACCAAAAGGCAAAAGAAACAAAAAAATATATATGAAAAGATATGAACGTAGATCTATTCAGGATAGTGGGAGTATGGAGGACCTGGGACCCTATAGTTTTTGGTCATATTATGAACACATCATATTTGGAGACATTGCAATATGGTGTTTTTTGTTTGAAACTTCTGTTATATTCTTGTATACATTTGCATTGTGTTTTGAATGCTCTTCTTGCCGTAGTTTAAATTTTCACAAAGTTTGGAAGAACTGCCAAGAAGAAGTAAAAATAGGAAAAATTAAAATAGAATTTCCCTAAAAGTATTGTGATCTAAATTAAAGGCAGCTTGGGTGAGAGATTTTGTTTCTGATGCTTGACCTTTAGAATAATTATTTGCTTTCAAATGATGTTTTGAAAAGTATTTAGGAAAAAACAGTTCAATGCTTCAAAGGAGAGATATCAATGTAATTGTGACTTGAAATAGAGGCAGATGAATATATCTTACCACTGATTCACAATAAAAGTTGTTTCTTTTCAGAAATATCTAATAAGGATGGTTTAATCTGTATATAGTCCCATTTTTCCCATTTTTCAGTCCTAAAATAGCAGATGCCAGGTGTCAGAGGCCACAGCAGAATGTGAAATAAGTAGAATCCCCTTTTCGAACGCCTTTCTAATCCAAACCATCTTTAGTGACTTGAAATATAGTATCTTTTAATATCCTTTCAAAAACAAAGAGTTGGTTGATTTGGGGGGGAAAAAAAGGCCATCCAACAACTACAATGTTATTATGAGAAAAATACTGGTTTAAATAGAAGATACTTGGGGAAGGGTATTTTCAGGAATTTCAAAGTAAATTGCTAACTCTAATACATGTGAAAATAGACTAATTTCTAAGAATGTTTTTTCTAAGAACTGTTTTCTGGAAGTAAGCTGTATGAAGAATTCTTGAATCTCTCCTGTAACAGTAAGTCTAGTAGTTTTTATCAGGTAGATGGTGGCCACCTCCCGTCTTCCCCTCTCCCCATATGCCCACCTCCCCTGCTGGCATTTCTTAGTTTAAGTTAATTAATATGTTTTTTTTTACTGACAACAGAGCAAAACTAAAAGTGTTACCTGTTTTCTAAATACTACTTGTGTTTTTAAGTAATGAGTTTGAAGCTTGCAGTTTTTCCAGCAATGTTTAAAAATAGATGAACCTGGAATAACTTTGCTTCCAAAATACGTAAGATCTTATAGTTTTTAAACAGTTATTCCCTGTGGTTCAAATCGAGAACGTAATAAATCTGTGTGCGTGTTCTTTTGTAAGACAATTAAGTACATCTGTGATGTTTTAGGGGAGATCCACTTTTAAACAGTGTGCATACTGGCCCACACTGAGATGTCACGCACCCTTTCTACACTTAAAACTGCTTATTCACTGTGGGTTCATTTTCAGTGGTCTTGGTTATTGCTGCTTCTGCCTGAAGGAGTGTACATCAGAAAGCAGCAGCAGAGTTACACGGTATGAACTATTTGTAACCTGACATTAAGTTTGAAAAATAAAGATATGTAAAAAGTTTCTGATATTAAAACTCAGTATTTTGTTTTTCTAAAGAAAGCAAGCTCTCTCCATAGTGAGGTCAAACTTAATTGACATTCTTGAAATACTTGTTGGAAAAGGAGTTAGGGGAATTGTTCTTGGCCTAGCAATCCATTTGAAGGGAGACTTTATCCCAGAAATTCTGTTCCTGATCTGCTCCGTTTTGTAGCATTCTCCCAAACTCACCTGCCTGGAGCCCTCCTGAGTCCTCCTTCCCTCTCCTCTGGGTTCTGACGGCGCAGGTGCCATGCTGTCTGCTGTGTCAGTGCTGATAAAAGGTTTCCTGCACTTAAAACATTCACCTAGCATGAAGTCTTGACTAGAGATTATTAATGCATTAAAATTTGTGGGGTATAAGCAATATAGTGTCAAAATATCTAGGTTTTGTGCCAGCGTTGAGTCCTAGGGTTGTGGCGGGGGGCGATCTGCCAGGCCCTGCCGTTGGCTGCCATTCAGTGTTGTTTCTGACAAAACTGGTTACCTTTGCTAACCTGAACTTTTATAAAAGTAGGTCTTTGTAGTGGTCTTGAAAACTGTAACAACATTTGGCAGCTTCAGTGTGGTTTTTTGTTTGTTTCGTATCAGTTTAGAAAGATGATTGTGCCTCATTTCTGTCACTAGTTTTGCTCAGATTGTAAACACAGGTAGCTTAATGTTACCACCATACCAGGTACACCTGTGATTTTAGGATGAGGTGGGTAGGTCTGTTGTCACGGGAAGGTTCTGACATAACTGTATAAAAACCAGGCCGTATACCTGTCTAGCCCGACGGAAGCTGTACGTGTTGTCTTCGGTTTGCCCCCTACCCGCCGCAACCCCCACTTCTCAGGTTGCTTTCTAACCAGTCCACGTGCAGGCTCGTAGGCTACAAGGCCACATCTGTTGGAAATCACCTCTAGCCCCAGTGCCTTAACGGGACTGAGTAGACCTTCATGAATGTTTTTGAGTGGATTAAAATGTTAAAATTACAACAATGGGTATGTGTGTCCACATTTAATGTTACGTGCATCTTTCTAGTCAGTTCAGACTTTTAAAAACCCTTTTCAGCAAACCCTTCACCATCAGGGCCCTTTTTCATTGACACATTTGAACACTGTTCACTTTGGTGGGGTTCATTCAGAAGCAGCTTCTCCCACGTGGTGATGCCTTCTTAGCTTAATCCTTGGTTCTTGGTGAAGAAAGGTTATTCTGCTGTGTGAGCTTCATGTTGTCCAGTAACACAGGGTCTCACACTGAAGCCTCTTCTGCACGGGTTCCCTGTATAGAATAGGGCTTCTCTCTTTAGTAAGAGTTTTTTCATGCGAAGGTCTTTCCACATTTGGTGTATTTATAGATATTCTCTTGGAAATGTGTCCTTGTGCTCAGAGAGGGATGAGCTACAGGGTTTTCAACAATGCATTCACAGGGTTTCCCATAGAACCCCAGTGCGAGTTCTTTCATGTTTTGTCAAGGGCAAGCTGCCAGTGAAGGCTTCCCCATGATGACCACACTTGTGGGTTTTCTCCAGAATTTATTCTTTGATGTTGACTGAAGGGTATATTATAGCTAAAGATTTCCCCATTTTCTTCACATTCATAAAGGTTTTGTTCTTCCATTTGTACAAACTCTCCACATAGAATAAGGGAGGGGGCAGTCCCTAGAGACTCAGTATTTTACAGTCATAGGATTTCATAACTGTGGCTTCAGACCTCTTAACTATCTGAAAAAAACTGACAAAATTACTGAGGACCCTAGAAAACTGGTTTTTGTGGCTTGTATCTGTTGATATTTTAAACCATCACAAGTTTTTTCTCTAAAGAGTTTGTGCTTTACCATAAAATGTGTCGAATTTAAAAATCATTCACTTCAGTTTTCCTTGACGACCGTTGTCTTTTTAAGATAAAAAGTTAAAAGTGAGAGGCAAGGGAAGGGGTTTGTAGAGAGGAGGGTGTGTGTGTGTCCCCACCCCTGACTCCCAGCTCCTCTCTGGGGGAAAAATGTAGCTATTGCAAGAAAAGAGCAGTGAATTACTTGTTCTGTAATGTTGCAAAGTCCCATATTCTTCATCAAAATAGGAATGGAAAAAAGAAAAACTTGCCTCTGTCTTGTCCAAGTAATGTGCTGCCCCAGCTTTCAAGATTTTATTCATAAAAGCCTGTAGCTCCAACGCCCTTCCTAGCCGCTCCGTCAGCAGCTCGGCCCTTTTCTGGACCTTGCCATCCCCAAGAAGCACTCCATGTCCATTTCGGTGGGAGAACAGAAGGATGCTGAAGATAAAGGCCTGAATGAGATCAGAGAATGGCTCTGATGGGAGGGGCTCAGGCTGGGTTGGACAGGAAGGAGAGGGACTGATATATAAAATAGCCCTGCAATGTGTACCCGAAAGGCCTGGTGTGGGTGCTGAGAGCTGGGCCTCGTGGCCCCTTAGCCACTCAGCCCACTGCGGGCCTCCCGCCCACTCTGGGTACATCCCAGGGGAGCCCAGGGCACACTCCCTTCCTGGGCTACATGCTTGGCCTGCCCTGCAAAACAGCCCTCTGCTCAGCAGCAGCGCTGACACCGCCATCACTTACTTACCTCTCTGGGTCTGAGTGATTTCTGCTTCAAGAGAAGAGTGGCAAGACCTCGTGAAATAAAGAGAAAAGTTTCCGCAAATGTGGGAAAGACTGCCGTTCTACAGCCACCGTCACAAGCTGCCGCCAGAGCCCGTTTTAAACTTGTTCTGTTGATCAATAGCTCGTCTTATTTTGGAAAGCAGGATGCAGCAGAGGCTGAAAATATTCCTGTTTTTTTTGCCCTTTAATTCCACTTCTAGGAATCTCTGAAAATACCAGAGATAAGTTGAGCGTTCCTGCACAAAGACCTTCATTGTGAAGTTTACAGTAAGATCTATAAACAGCTAGATCTAGCACCCATTTGACTGGTTATATGGGCAAGAGAAGTATTGATATAACTTCTTATACCATGAAGATTACTTCATTATGAATTATTTGAGGGGAAGAAAAGTGAGGATAAAATTTCAGCAGGAACTTCAGGTCATAAAAGGGTGTTTATGTGTGTAGGGGGTGTGTGTGTGTGTGTGTGCGTGCACGCTGTGTGTATATTGCATAGAGAAGAGCCTGGAAGGAAATGTGTTATCATGATGGTGGTTTTGGAAATGTGGCTGACTTATTTTTCTCATCTTGCTTTCCTTTATTAAAACTTTTTTTTTATAATTTGGCTCTCATAAAAATCCAAGCTTATGGGAATCAATAGTTTAAACCTTTTTTATTTTTCTTATCCTGGCAAAATTAATAATTTTTAAGAGAAAAAAGCCTTGAACTGTCTCATGTTTTGGTAAAGAAATAACCCAGAAACCCTTCTATTTTCTAATCTCATTGTATTTATATTAGTTTCCAAGGTCTGTCATAAAATAGTACCACAAATTGGGTGCTTAAAACAACAGGAATCTATTCTCTCACATTTATGGGGGTTAGAAGTCCGAAAACAAGGTATCCATCAGGCCTGGCTCCCTCTGCCACCTGGAAGAGAATCCTTCCTTGCCTCCTCTTTGCTTCTGGAGGTTCACGTGATCCTCGGTGTTCCCTGGCACATAAATGCATCTCCCTTGGCCTCCGTCTTCACGTGGCATTCTCCCTGTGTCTTCACATCATCTTCCCTTTGCCAGTATCTCTGTATCCAAATTTCCCCTTTTTGTAAGGAGTTGGTCATGCTGGATTGAGGTCCTCCCTAACAACCTCGTCTTAACCTGATCATCTGCAATGGCTGTCTCCAAATGAGGTCCCATCCTGAGGTTCTAGGAGCCAGGACTTCAATATAACTTTTTTTTTTTGGAGCGGGATGTCAGGGGAACACAATTCATCCCATAACTGTATTTGTATATTTTTTGAAGGCTCTCTTCAATTACATTCTTGCTTATCAGCCTTGTTCTGTTTGTTTTATCTTTATAATGTGATATTTTGCGTATCTGACCCTGTTTT